TCTTTGCTTTGATAGCTGCCAACGATGTTTCAATTCGCTTCTCACATGCTGCCGTGATTCTCCCTTCTCGCACGCTGGCTGAATCGGCTGCATTCCTTCGAACACAATGTGAAACTTGGTTCTCCAGACCTTTTGCTCGAGAACTCATATAATGAAATATCCATTGTTACTCAGCGGGCCTCAAATTGTCACTCCTTTTTCTGCTTGTTGCCCGCTTTCTTCGGCTCTTCCTTTGCGGGCGGTTCCTTGATTGCACGCTGCACATCCGGATTCGCCTTGAAAATCTCGCTCTGCTTGGCGAGGATGTCGGCATTCTTCTTCTTTTGTGCTGCGCGCCCCTTCCGTGCCTCGCTGCTGAGGTCTTGCAAAATATTTTTTTCTTCTGCTTTATCTCTGTCTTCTCCTTCTTCTTCTTTTTTCTCGCTCGGATCTTCGATGAACGAAATCGGACTTGCTTCCTCAAGTCCGTCTCCTTCTTTCACCTTTGCCTTCACGGGCGGCGTCTTCGGCTCAGGTACCTGAGGCGTCTTCTGCTCAGGTACTTCGGGATTAATTTGTACCTCTTCCATTTTTTCCTCCTTCTTCTCCTCTGTTTTCGGCTCACCGGCCTTCGACTCACTCTTCTTCTCTTCCTTTTAACCGGCCTTCGACTTGTTCTCCGGCGCTGCTTCAACTTGCTTTTGTTTCGGCACCCGCTCTCGACGCGCGCTGTTCATCGGTGTCTAGCCTTCACTTGATCGCTGGTTGCCTTCAACCCTGGCACGCCCAATCCAAGATCTGATCAGATAGAACATAACGAGCGCCAACAGTCCCATTTCTTGTGCTCGCAGATACATTTGCAGACACTGCTGCATTTTTTCAACGCGCAAGCCGCTGGTCGGCGGCCATCAGCACCGACGCTTTTTCAGAGCAGCGACTAGAAAGCGAAAAACTACACTGCATACAAAACAAAGGCATGCTCTGAGTGGAAATTATGGGTTCTGAATAAGAGTTCTCCATTGATCTCTTTGTTGTGCAAGAGGGAGGAGAGTTCTATAGAGCGGAGCGTTATCCAAATTCATTATTCAAGAACTACCATGCGCCCTCAAGACTTCACCTTGCATAGGAATCTTGAGAAAGGAGTGTCCTAAATCTACACGCGAGGGAGGAACATCTGATTGTATATAATCACAACGTAATTTTGCCTCAGTCAAGCAAGACGCCACCAAGTGAGTCCTGGGGCAGCCGGCTGTGTTGCTGCCAAATGTGCGTCTAAAAGAATGTGCGTGGGAAAACATGGATTGTCCTTCCAGGGAGGACGGATGTCGTAGAAGATGTCCTGATAACTTAAGTCTATTTTGCACGTAGATTCTGGAGGGTGGAATAATCTTCGAGGAATGGTACGCAAGGTCGTGCAAATATTCGTTAAAGCACGGCGCATCCGAGGGTTCCAAGACTCTGTGATAAAAAGGAGGATTTGATCTTCAAGATCCGACGGAGTGTCTTGTAATGAATAGAGTCGAAAGGAATTAATTGAGAGCGAAAAAGCGTTTCGCTTTCCATCGCATAGAGAAGGATAGATTGGATGACGGACTTGTAAACTCTTAACTTCCAGGAAGGGGGCAGGGCACTATGCCCGGTAGGTGAGCGACTTAGAGGCCACAATCGCCTGAGAGATGCGATAGCGTAAGTGTTTACTATTCGAGGACGTGGAATCGAGACAGGCTCCAAGATATTTGACTTCATGGCAGACAGACACTGGGCACAGGGCAGCCTGTGAGCCCTGGCAACAAATGCACTCACAGGAAGCAGGGAGCAGCGTCATTTGGCTGAAACTAGACAGGCCTGTCTGCACGAACACGCATGTGTTCACATTTGTCAAAGTTTAAACGCAAACCCCGCACTCGGCCTTCCTGCTGAAGAAGATGTAGAAGAAGTCGATTTAGTTGATCGGCCGAAGAGGAAAGTAATATTGTATTCATCCGCATATTCCATTTATCGTACAAATTGGAAAATCTTCGAAACGTAGAAGTGTCAAAAATATTCACATGAATATGGAGAATATCCAGGAGCACTTGCGCATAAAAGGAAGCACAGACATATTCCTTCTTTTTCCAATGAGGTGCGAACTCCCAGCAACTGGAAAACAAACAATCTCACGTCGGTCCAACCGAAGTGAGAAAAGGACGAGCACCAGGCTCCCCCCGATCGCCCCAGGCGATTACAACCCTTTCACATGCTGGGCGATCGCATCCTTCCCTTCTACGAGGGAGACCAGAGGTTCACAAGTTCAATCAATTGACCCACGCGTGAACGACTCATCATACCCAACCTGGGGGCAGCATCACTGATGTTCGCACACGACGGCACTCTGGAATATCAATTGAAAGCCTTGAGTTCTTCAAGAACAAAGGAGTGGCTCACAATTTCAAAGGTATCTTCCACAGCAGAAGAGCCACTCGAGAAGGCAGCTTTGGCAGACTCGTTATCCAGAAACCACAACACTTTCCGAGCTTTCGCAGTAAGGAGCGGAGTGCCTCTACTTGGCCCACCAACTGCGTCTTTCCCCCTCGTCTCCATCGCTTTAGGCCGGCTCGCCGAAAAATTTCTTGACTGCAGCATCAATGCGCACGCGCCGTGAGTGGTCAAGAGGCTCTTGGATTCGCACGCACCATCTGTGCAGACACTGGGCACTCTGGTAAGGAAACTCACCTCACGGGCTTTTGTGTCTTGTTCATCATTTGCAACGGTTCCACCCTTGCAACTGCATCACATTGCCAAACAAGCTTGTGCGACGCCGCGAAAGTTCAGCTCCAAATGACAAAGTCATCGCAAAAATTGGACACCACCAAACGAAGACTTTTAGCAGAATGCGCCGCACACCTTTCGCCACGACCTCAGAAGAACTGCGACCTGCCTGGCTCCGATCAACAACTGTTCGTCGCTGCAACGGCACAGCAAAAATGACTTACTTTTCAACCATCTCTTCGACAGACGCATGCAAGCATTGAAGTGTTGAGACACCAAGTTGCTTTGACTCATTCGAGCTCGTCCACGGTCATCTGCCGCTTGTGTCTCTGCGAAGATCACACAGCCACCGAGGCGCCGTCCTGTCTCACGTCCAAGCTGCATCCGAGTACACAGCGAACTGGAGAGAGTCCAAAGCGCCGTGTTTGTTCACGGTCCAGCTGTGTAGCGGTCCACGCACTCTTTGGCAAAAACCGAGAGTCTTGTTCTCGAGCATGTCAGCAACCGTGGAGCCAGCCATAGCGGCCTGCAGCAAGAAGATGAATGCCGAAAACACAACGAACCTTTCCGATCGCCTTCTCGTCAAGCTGGTCTCAGGCTGATGCCGCCGCTTGTTCAGCGATGGGCTTGATGTTGTGCACATGCTGGTGTATAATGTCTGTTCCATCGAGAAGTCCATGGAGCCAAACTCAAGGACTGTCAGATCCTGAAGGTGTTCAAACCAGCTTTTGGAGTGTTCGTGCGCCCCGCCAGTGGCATGGTACAGACGAAAGAGTCAACTGCAAGGACTTGCGCGACACCAACTTGACAAGTACCTCTCTGTCCGAGAGGCCACTCCACAAGATGAACCTCACCGCATCTTTCGACTGCAAGGTAGTCTTGGGTCTTCACTGATGACGTCAGGTGGCGACGGAGCATGTGAACGCCCGGCAAGACGTCATGCACCGGTCCAGAAGAGGTGGCCGCTTTCAAGCAAAAGGACGGACAGGCGGCCAACGTCCGCAGGCTTTCGACACGCTGACGTCCTTACTGGTTGCAACCCTGCTCTTCTTCTTCTAAGTACAGATGGGATGGAAGGTGTTTTTTTTCGACTTTCGAGACGCAGCAAAGTTATCCTTGCCTAGCGAGCAATCAAGAGTGCGGCAAACAGAAAGTTGCCGGCCTATTGAATAGGCGCGAGGGTCCCATAGGGTACCCTGCCAACTTGATGGTGAGAGAAAACGCATCTTCACATCTTGTACAGTTTGTACACAAGGGAAGTTAGGACTTCCGAAACTCTACAGTCTACAGCCCATCCCTGTATCACTCATCTCATCTTATCTCATCTCAGATGCATGCTGCCTTGGTCGGCTGCTCATGTCGCACGCACCACAGCATTTTAGCACCTCGCTGATGCCCGTGCTGAAGAGTGCAAGCATACGGAGCATGGGCTTCTTTTGCAAGCAGCAAGTCATCGCGGTGACGGAGGATGGTGCAGTACTTGCCCAGAGAGGCTCCCGACGCCCCTCCTAAGTGCATGCCCACTGCCTGAACACTGTATGAGGTGTATGCAATGTCTAGCGAAGACACATCGGCAAAGGTTGGTACAAGAATGCTATCCCAGTCCCATGTGATGCACGGTGAAGATGCACGCAAACAACAGGCAGAGTTGGGCACGTCCGGAGACAGAGCTACAGCATCACTTCGCTGCGATAGGTCCCGATCTGTGTCAGGCTGCCGCGCAGGCAAAAGGTAGAGTGAAAGAACGGATGGAGGATCCAGCAGGCCACAAAACTCATCAGAGAAGGCCCAAGCCTCCAGGCATTGTTGCACATCTACAGCAGTGATGTCCGCAGGAACACGTAGGCCAATACCATGTGAGGTTGACCGAGTGCCACAAATCTGCATCTTGCCTCCAGTAGCTGATCTACGTTGCCAGCTACCATCGAAGCATCTCACGCCTGGCATGTGCACTTGAAACAGAACTTGCATGGCCCCAAAGTGATGAGAACCGCACCTCGCCCATTCCCCCTGGATGAGGCGCCACTCCTTAATGGTTTGCAGTAAGGGGCCAGATTCCGGTGCTTGAAGCACCCGCCACAGACGCTGCAGATTCTGGGGCATGGGCCCTCGCAAGTAAGTAAAAATCCACAGTGTGCCTACCAGCCATGCAAGGCCACATGTATGCATCAGAGACACAGGCAGACAACTGCACCGGAGGGCCTCTTGCATTCCCGGATGAATGCACTGCACACAGCTTCCCCCGTCCATGAAGGGCAGCACGCCAAGTGGGTTCAGCGCAGATAGTCCTGGATCCTCTGTGCCGTGGCAGACCGTCCCGGTTTGTCTTTGCGAAGACGAGCACCTATGATCTGCAAGACCGAGCACTGGCACAACACCTTCAGGCTCCGATACAGGTCCGCCGCCTCCTGACCCCGGTGACCCACTTCTATCTCGAAGTGCACGAACTCCGAGAAGCTGTATTCGGCCTTCGCATGGAAGCGATACAGCACGGGACTCTCGTTGGCCTTCTCGCAGACCGCAAGCAGCTGGTGGATCTCCTCTGTTTTCAAGGGTGTGCGACTGGCATCCACCTGAAGCTTCTCCAGCTCGTGATCCCAGACTTGGTATACCCAGTGTCCCTGCGCATCCAGGAGTTGAACCTTTTTCGCATTCTCCAGCAGCTTCTCGTCCGTGGATACCTGGTGGAGTCGGTCCTTCAGGGCTTTCAGCATGCCAGCCATCATCGTAGCCCTCAACGACGCCTGGAGCTGAGCTGGCGTGGTGTCTCTCATCTTCTTCCACTTTTTGGACACCTCCCACAGCATCCCCACGATGGACTCTTCCCCAGTGTTCCGCAGCCACAGGTGAAGGACAGAATCTTGACGTTGAAGACTCAGTTGATCCTCGTGCCTCAGGATCAGTCGTGCCATCTGCGTCATGAGGTCCTTCTCGTAGTGTCCCCTCCAGGAATTGTCCTCCGGAAGCGTCCATCTGTCCTTGGCCTGCTCTCGTCTGCCACCATTCTTCCCACGCCCTTTGCCCTTGCCTTTGCCCTTGGGTTTCTGGGAGCTCCATGCCCTCGACTCCTCCTCCTCCGTCTCGCGGCGTCGTTTGAAGGGATTCTCGGAGTCCTCCATCGGCGCAGTCCCCTGTCGGAAGCTGCCAAAGAAGGCTTCCATCTCCTTCGCACTGGCTCCCGCCATTGCTTTCAGCAAGGAGGCTTCCAAGAAGAATACTGGTGCTGATTACAGGACACCTAGCGGCATGTCGGGATTTATCAAAGTTTTGTAACCCACAGTACCGGCATGGCTTAACCATCCCCCTACGGAAAACCGAAGCAATTTGTTTGATACGCGGCTGTAGGTCATGCCATTGTGGGTGCACATCCTGAAGATGGACCTTGACCCCACTGGCATTCACGCACCACTGGTTGCACAACGGGCAGAAGTGCAGCACACGTTCCCTGACAAGACGAAGATCGAGCAAGCCTTGCCACCCTTGGGCTCGCACTGTGGCTATCACCAGCGGATGTTGTCGAAGCGACAGATTGTCCGATGGAGTTTGCTCAAGTAAGGGCAGCCTGCAGTGGCCACCAAGCACATGCTGCTTCAGGGCACCCCACGAGGAGAAGGGCCGACGACACGCAGCACAAGTTGGCATGCCATCTACGCCACAGCGACTCTGCTCATACAACGGCCTGGTCACCACTTGAGAAGCTGGGTGTTTCCTGGTCATGTGGATTTTTACACCCGTCACATCCTTGAAGTAGAGGCCGCATACTGGACACGCCTGTCCTCGCACAGCCAGCGGTAGCGGAATGAGTGCTGCAGTGGAGGCGGACGCTGAATCAGGCACAGTGCTCGCATTTGGAGGAAGGGGCTCCTGCAGCTGCTCATAGGCAGCAGTCACTTTCAGGAGCCAGTCCATCTGTTCCAGACAGAACGACCCACGCTGAACCTGCCGGTGCTGAGCCTCAGGCAGCTGTTTAGCCTGGATGCCACGAAGATGGGTCAGCTCAGTGGGAATACGCAGCCGATCATACAGCCTCGCAGTGGACTCTTTACTCAGGTGGACTGGCGAGCGAGTAATAGCCCGGATTTGTCTGGCACATTGAACTTGGATGAGCTTAAGCAGGCCTTGCCGCAAGGGAATGGAGTCAAGTCCATAACGCAGACACGACAGCACACAGACCTGCCATACTCTCAAGCGCTCTTGCTGATTCAAGGTACTCTTGGATGTCAAGACAGGCCTGAGGCGGTGGTAAGCAGCTTTGCTTTGCTCCAACCGATGCAGAACCGTGGCTTTTTCATAGGCCTGATAGGACAAAATAATCCCCAAGTACTTATGTGTAGTTTTGATGGGCAGAAAAGCAATGGTTTCACCCACTCGGATACGCAAGAAGCTGCCTCCTTCACGGTGAAAGACATGATGTTTTCGCCATCTTTTGGTACACGCCCCTTTGAGATGCATGAGAACTGCAGACTTCTTGTAATTAATCAGCATGTTGAATTTTTGCAAGTGCAGAAATAGTTTCCCAGCCTTTTGCAAGAAAGAATCCAAGTCAGCCGCCTGTGCAATCACATCACAAAAGTGCAGATCATCCGCAAAGAAGGTACAAGAGGACTGAAGCCATTCCTGTGGCAGAAAATCACTAGCCGTACGAAAGAAGTAGCAGGTGTAAAGGACCCATAAAATGGGAGCAATGTTGCACCCTTGCCTAACTCCAACCGTACTGTCAACCGAGCCCTGCAAGTCAGCATGCCTCAAGTGATACTCCATATCCTGATGCCACGCCATTATGGCCGCCTGGAGTTCAGACGGGATATGTGCATCACACATAGCAGCTTGAAGGAGCGTGCGATCCAGCCTGTCAAAGGCCTGGGACATGTCCACACTCACTTGGATGCCTCCAAGGACGGAGCGAGCTGGAACACAGCCCTTGCGGCGATCATACAGGGACAGCTTACCACCTTGAAGGGAGCTGCGCACGAAATCGCAGTGACAAAGAGCACGGTTAATGGCCTGACGAGTCGATCTCTGACCAACGTAAGCAAACTGAGGCCATGCCTCCACATACTTCATGATGAATGGCATGACAGCATCCCGCACAGCTCCAAGCACACATTTCCCATCAATGTCCTGGAGACCGATGGGCCGTAGGTCTCTTGGGACTTTGGGTGTGGCAATCTTTGGTATGAAGGCCAGCCACGCGTCCTTCCAAGGCTTGGGAACCACGGAGGTCAGCTGATGTACAAGGGCTTCAATCGCCTGACAGCCCAATCTGCCTGTCATCTTCCATGCCACGGCTGGGACATGCCCTGGGGGCGCAACCTTGCGCAGAGGGAGGCGTTTCATGTTGGCCAGCAGGGATTCCTCCGTCACATGTTTTGCAAGGCCCGTAAGATCATATTCCTGCCCATCAGCTGTGGCCGACGAGAAAAGAGTGCAGCAGTGGTCCTGCAGGAGTTGCATTTCTCCATGATGATCCAGCAAGGCGCCATCCTCACCTCTCAGACGGACTTTCCTACGGACCTGTTTGGGGGCCAGTTGCCGAACGACCGCATACAGATCATGCATCCGGCCTTTTTGCGATGCTTCTTCCGCTTCCTGCAGCTTGGTCAGGCGCCAAGCCTTGCGGAGTCGGCGCCCAGTTTTTCTCATGTCTCGATGAGATGCATGAAAGCGGGCCTGTGCCTGCCAGACCTGAAGAATGGATTTCAAAGTAACCACACGCGGTCGACGAAATGCATGGTAGCATTTCCACATAGCCTTGATAGACAGGGCACCCTCCTTTTGACACCACGCTGGCCTATAGCCTATCTGTGGGGCGGGTTTAGGGTACAGCTCAAGACAGCTGTCCAGGACAGCAGATTGCAACCCAGCAACAGAGGCCTCTGCTTGCTCAAGCTTTTGATCAAAGAGATTCTGGAAACGTTCCACAGCCTCAGGGTGGTGCAGGTAGTCATGTATCATGGCCTTCTGATCCCACGCAGGCCCCGGCGGAATTGGAGGCTGATGGCATCTCCGGACAGGGCGAAGATCAGCCAGGACGGGGTAATGCTTGCCCCCCTCACGCCATGGAAAGAAGTCCAGGCTTGACGTGTGTGCACATCTGGCTCTTGCATCAGCATCCTGCCTACGGGTATAGACATGATCGATGTGCGAGCTGGCATCCGTCGAGCAAAAGGTTACCCCAGCATGCCTGACCCAGCTGTTCAGTAAGCAGAGATCAAAGTCACGGATCAAAATCCATGAGCATATCTGCATCGTCATCGAGAGGTCTGGTAACATGGGCCTGAACATTCCCCACCTGCCCCTGCATTGCAGAGCATTGTGTGTTCATATCACCTGCCAGGATCAGGGGATTACGCCTAGGGAGGCGATCAAGAACAACCCGGAGATGACGCCACAGCTGAGCCCTCTTAGCCTCATAGTGTTGCACCGGCTTAGGACCAGTGGAGACGCTCTGGTAGGTGTTAACAACGTCCACGGCCGTTTCTCCAAGGTGAATCCTGACGTGCAACAACCTTCCCACTAATATCTCCATGTAGGCAAGGCGGTGTGCTTGGGCAGCAGGTAAGAGGACATGTGAGATCATGACCATCAGCCCGCCTGACCTAAACTCGGAAGGACAGCTCGAGGTAATGACATGCCAACCTGGCGTGGAGTACTCCGAACTATGTTTCCAATGGGTCTCCTGAAGGCAGACGATATGCGGGCGAACCTCCTCGGGGGTCTGCAGCATGGCAGCCATAAAGACATCGTAGGCATCCGTCGCAAGACCACCGACGTTGTATGTCATAAACCTGATACGACACCCTGAAGAAGGTTTTGGAGCCGGGCCAGCAGCAAGGCTGCCTGGTTCTGGGCCAGCGCATGGAGCCCTTTTCGTGCCTGCATATTTCGCCCCCAACTGAGCGATGGTGTGCCAGCGTCCTCGGTACATTGCCCCGCCATCCCGCGTAGCCCGATGCACAGCACGTTTGTAGGCTCGCTTCCTAGCATGGGAAAAGAGGGAGACACCAACCTGACTGGGGGTGCAGTCCGATAGAACACTGGCGGCTCGTGACGAAAGATATGAAGATGCGTAAGGCTCAAACCCGTGATTCCCAGGTGATCGGAGCATGTGATGGTCATCAGATACCGCACCTGGTTCAGATGTAGCCGGGCTCACTACATCAACCCTCGCTCCTTGAGACCCTGGCAGCAAACAAGCCATGATGCACAGAAGAAGAATAGGTGCGGCCCTCGGTATGGATCTCGGACCAAAACACCTGCAGGGTCTCATGCCGGATTTGGGACCGGCAGGGCTCAGTGGAAAGAAAGGTCGAATGAGTGTGCACACACAAGCAGTGAAGCGTGGCCTGGACCATATGGAGCAATTGCACACAGGGTTCAATATTAGTGGACGGACGAAGGCTGAGCCAACAGAGGAAAGAGGAGAACCAGGTATACCACTGCTGGCTATTCTGATGCATTGGGAGACCTATTCCAGCACCCAATCGAGCACGCTGCTTTCTGATTCCGAGGAGACAGCACGCTTTGGTCCCTATACGCCTCCTCCTATAACAGCCGCGCAGTATCCTTGTCATACCACGACATACCTTCGGGGATGCAACAGCACGCCACAGGCGCTCTAAAACCAGGAGCACTCCCGCTAGACAATGCAGCAAGCAGCCTAGTCCAGCGAGTCCAGACACCCGGCAAAGATCGGCATTTTGTTGCCGCCACGCTTGCCTACAGATCGCCATGGTTCGAGCTGGAAGCAGGGCAGAAAAGCAGAGAGCCTTCTCCGTTGGCGCGGGGTGTGGGTCCAGCCTGTGGCTTTGCTTGAGGATGTGACAGGGCAGGGCAGGTATAAGCCGTGCTAGCCGAAGTCTGGGGTTCCCACCCAGCCAGCATTGGTGCCTCCAATTTGCATGTCGGGATGGCTGACAAATTCTCCAGACACAGAGCAAACGGCAAGATTCAGGTGCCTGAGGTAGGGCACACAGTCGGTAGCTTTCACATCTGAGGTCAACCATGGTCAGGCAAATTGGCAGAGTGGGTCTGCAGATGTGACTGTTGATAAGAATCCAACCAGTCGCTGCGCATTTTCTTTGGCAATGCCTGGCCCAGGCGTGACACCAGTGGGACAAGTACAAGCTAGTCAGGACCTCTGGTATCCAGATTGGGGCGACGTTGTCCAAGGACACCTTCAACATACCGCAGGCGCCTGCCAAACTCACATGCGCACGGGTAGGACACACACCAAGTGGAAGGGGGCCCGGCTTAAGACGTACAGCTTGATCAGGCATCACACGGCTCGCCACGCAGTGATCACCTAGTACACAGAACACAGGCCAGGAAACGCTGTGAAAGTGTTCAGCAGGCCTTCGGCCATCGGCAGGCCAGCAGCACACCCCCCAGCTCTTGAGCCAGTCCAGACAGCTGCACCCACACAGAGCAGATCGGATTGCCCCAGGCCAGAACACATGACGAAGGAAGCGATGGGCAACAGGCTGCAGGTGCAGGCACACTGGTCTTTCTGACAGCCAGTTGAAAAAGCACCGGCGTGCATTGGTAGTGCATAGGGAGTAGTCCCCCAATCCGACATGGACCAGAGCGAGTGCCCTCACCATCAGAGCATGCTGCAAGTGAATGGATGGACTATCATTCTGGTATGGGAACTCCAATTGGTGGTGAAGGACATGCTCACGGAAAGGAGGGGCAAGCTGAAGGTTACAGGACCTGCAGGAGTGGCCCTCAAGCGGCATGGAATTATACCTGTTAGGGATTACCACACACTTATATCCACCCTCATCAAGCAACCAGACCCACTGGTGAATGAACCACCGCTCCTGCCAAGCCCCCAAGCTACAGCTGAACTCTGGCAGCCATGTCAGGCTCAGGTGGCATATCTCAGCTGCTCTCACAGAGCATCGGTCCACTAGCCATACCTGTTGCAGCCAGATATGGAGCAGGGTATCACATCGGCAGGGACTCGGCAGACAAGGTAGACTACGTGGGCATGAAGTCACCCTGAAGACCCTAAGGAACAAGATCCATTTCCAGCCCCAACCCTCAAGGTTCAACTCATGCAGGGCCCCACACCTCATGAGGTGCATCGCCACCCGCTGTGCGTAAGGCAGTTGGAGCTCCACGGCATGTCGTCCACGTATATGCGTAATCAGTCGCCATGCAACATCCTCCGGTGGGATCTGGCGGGCTTCCAGCACTGCAAACACGACCTGAAGCCTGTGACGCATTTCGGGCGACATACACCATGCCGGAGTCCATCCTGCCCCCTGCAGGTGCCATGTAAGCTCTTCCACCAGCTCGCCTGCACCCATTGTCTCAGGTGCTCTGTTGTAATGCGGTGGCAGTGCGTGACCAGGGATCAAGGGACCACCAAGCATCGGGCCGCCAGTGGCTCCAACCGTCCGCCGATATTGTTCCACCGCAGTCCGCGAGCTGATAGCAATGGGAGTGGGTGGCGGAGGCCCGCCCGGGGCAGTTGCTGCCTCACCGGTGTTGGCGGCGGCGGCCCAGCCGGACCCATAGCCCCAGGACTTCCAGTGTCCGTTGACGCACGTGCTGCCCCTTCCCCAGTCATCGGAGATCTCGATCTGGACGCTCGAGAGCCTGGGCTGGTAGGCCTGCCCCTTCCAGATGCTGCAGCTGAGGCTGCTCGCCCCGTCGGAAGCGGCCTTGGTCCATTGTCGCCACGAGCACGACCTCGTCCTCGGCCTCGGCTCCGAGCCGGCAGAAACTCACCTGAAGCTGAAGCCGCAGCTCTAGACAGATGTGTCATCATCGGGGCCATGACTTCCTCATTGTAGCCTTGCTGCAGTAACACATCATGCACAGCTTGTGCCAGCTCCCAGTAAGTGAAGCTCTCCGCCACAACGGCCGACTCAAGCAGGTCAGAGAGAGCATCGTAGCCTTCCACCGCTGGGGTCTCCTGGTCATCCAGGATATCCGCCGCTGAGATAGCGAGCGCCTCCGCCAGGTGCATCTTTCTCGCGTCAGGGCTGGGCACCTCCGAGGCTGTTCCGTCGCCGTCCTCTGCCGCCCTTGCAGGGATAGCCAGGAGCACCGTGGCCACATAGGCCATCCAAACGGCCATCGCCCGCAGCCACGCCATGGCTTCACAAATCACTAACTACACACATCAACAAAAGAACTTTGAGCCCAGGAGCTTGGATGGAAGGTGTTCTCTAGCATTCCTCCAGGCCGACGACATCGATATCAAAGTTGTTTGCAATCCTGAACCGCACATCAGACAGAGGCTGGCTCGCCTCGTGGGGCTGGCTCGGTTGGCTCGGTTGCGTACTTGAGAAGGAACCGCATTGGCACCGCTTCGCCTAGCCTAGTGCGTTCGTGCAGCAAGGAAGGAGTCTTCGCAAAGGAAGCTGTGGTCATCGTCCATGTCATCACTCTGAGTCTGGGCTGACCCATGGGTTGAAACAGCAAAGCCTTCAGCACTCTGGAGGGGGAAGAGGAGAGAGTCCGTCCAGAGCACGGGCTTTGTTGACGCTGCGAGAAGCTTGGAGTCAAAGCCGCTCCCTTGGCGGGCTGCGGGATCCGGCGTCAGCGGGCGGAGGACGGGAAGAAAGGTCCAAAAACGAGGGCCGCGTGCAGGACGAAGAGCAGCGCCACGCGCTGCATCACGGGGCGGTGGCCTTGGAGTCCGGCGCCAAGAGAAGCGATATGCCCGCTCAAGAGGAAGCTCAGCACGGAGTTGCTCAGGGGCACAGCGAAGAAGAAGCTGGTCCAGAGTTTGCAGACGTTGTTGGCTTGCTGGGCATGGTGGTCACCTGCGACCAAAGAGAAGGGCTCGTCGGACGGGGCTGCATCCCGTTACCCTTCGGCAAAGGGGGCTTCGAAGCCAGCCTTCGAAGCCGAAGGGTCGAAGAGGGAGGGTGGAGGGGGGGGGTGAAGGTCTGGGGGGGGTCGGGAGCTGCAGCAGAAATTGGCGAGGGGCGGAGGGAAGGCTTCGAAGGCTTGGAAGGTGCGGACGAAGGCTTCAAAGGCTTCGAAAGGTGAGGACGAAGGCTTCGAAGGCTTCGAGGGTGAGGACGAAGGGGCTTCGAAGGCTTCGAAGGTGAGGACGAAGAGGGCTTCGAAGACTTCGGACGAAGGGGACTTCGAAGGCTTCGAAGGTGAGGCGAAGGGGGCTTCGAAGGCTTGGAAGGTGAGAGACGGGGGCATCTCCAGAGTCTTCTCTGAGTTTCGAAGAATGAAATCCAAAAAATGAGATCCAGAAAACAAAACAAGATTCGGGGGGGCTGGAATTCAGAAGAAGTCCCTTCTCTCTCATCTTCAAAAAGAAATTACAGGCCTTCGAAAGACAAGAAATTGAGGGGGTGGAATTTAGAACAATTCTTCACGCTTCTCTTCGACAGGCTTCGAAGGACAACTTTTTTTTGAAGCGGACGCCCCTTTACCACATCAGCGGCCCAGTAGGCAGGTCTTGGCAACCGAAGGACATCTACTTTGAGAGCCAAACTGTACAAGCCAGCGAGTGTAAAGAAGTCGTGGCTACAAAGAAGAAACCGCTAGTGCAGAGGCGTTGCAAGCGCACTGAAAGAAAGGCACGAACGCGCACAAAGGCACAATGCACACAGAGTGCCAGAAAGGGCGCCCCCCCCTGCAAGCGGGGGCAGGCAAGGGGCTGGTGTGGCTACACAATGCTGCCATCGGCACTATGTGAGTCCGGGCGTCACATAGGCTCCTTGTGTCTGCGCTGAAAGTTTTGAAGCTCGACCCCATGGCCATAGGGCGGGCCTCGCTGCTTGCAAGAGACCATATTTTTACAGCCCCGCGCAGTGGCCGATTTTTGAGACGGCACAAGAGCTCCAAGGCTGCTGGCTGGCACTTGGCTCATGTGCTTCCCAGGTACCGGGAGCCTATCGGCTTGGCACGCTTAGCTTGGTCCGCTCGCGGTTGGTCCCGCCTTCCTACGCGCCTCTGTGATACCTTTTGGGGGGCGGACGGACACCTGGCAGCGCTGCTGGGAGCGTGCTCGTACGGCCTGGCCGCTAATCGTACTGCTGTATTCATAACGGGTGCGCCCGGCAGCGGGAAGACACGATCCTGCGCCCGATTGACGCCCTATTGACGCCCTATTGACGCCCTATTGAAGCCCTATTAAACTACCAAGCCCTGGAAGCCTTATGAAGTAGGGTTTATACTTCTTGTACCCCTGGAAGGACACCCAGTATATACACTCACCATTTTTGAAAAAGGAACCTAGTATACACTCAGTAATATAAACCCAGCTTCATGTCCTGGGAAAGTCTTAGGCAACAGTCAGAGAGACCTGATCGCTTCTGGGCCTTCCAGAGAAGGTTTCAGCAGTTTGCGCACAGAACAGGGCGTTCAACAGCATAGCGCTTTTTACAGCTACCGTGTACCGTCTCCTTGCCAGACAACCTGAACCTGCCGGATTGGCGAGGTTTTTGATGAGGCAGGACTCACACGGTAGAATGATTACACAGGTTCGCTCACAGTCTCCTCCTGAGTGTCAGATTTTTTTTGTTTGGACCGATGCCTCTTTTACTACGGCCGTTCTTGTGGATCTCAACACGAGGGGTGAAACAGAGCAGGTGCGAAAACCAAAGCAAACACACCAAAACAACCACAAAACACAACCAACCAGCAGCAACCCGCAAGACCAGAGCACCAAACGTCTATGTGTCCCTGCGCTCAGTACTCGAGGTCGTCGCAGAAATCCAGGTGTAATCAAGCAGTGCAGAGCATGCGGACGTAAAATGCGAGAGTTTGCCAGATCATCAAAACCACCATCATGTAGCCACTCGTGCAAAGAAGGTTAGCACGGAAAGCTGTAAATCGAAGAAGGAGGAATCTGCTGACTGCGGCCCCAGGTTCTGTTTGACATGGCCAGATGGGGCGCGTGCTGGCCTGGGATATTGGGCCATTTTGTACCTTCCCTTTTTGCTGCTGTGTGCCTGGTACCTGACTGTGTTGGCCGGTAACTCTGCTGTCCTAACAGGCACACAGCAGTCAAACTCTTACTCCGGCCCGCAGCACTTCATTGCTATGGACCCTTCCAACCAATCCGGATGTTTTAGACGGTACCTGGAGGCTCAGGTGCATGATTGGCGTGCTGCGCCCGGCCTGCTTGGTATAATGCTGCCAGTAGGACCCAACCAAGCAACTTCTCAGCTTCTGGTAAAAACTGTGCTGCCACGGCAACCCCATGTCGAATTTGCGTCCTTCGTGTGAGAAAAGATTTAAGGGTCTTTTAGCCACTACCCTTGCCAGTGCGGCGTTGCACGCCCGCACATCCAAGACTGGAACGCAGTTGAAGGGAGCTTGTGCGTTTTTTTCAACAACTGACATGACCGCAGTAGCACGTGAAGTGCGTGCAGGGTGTCGATGCAATCCGAGTCACAGCAAGTTTTATGTTGAAAACGATGGCTACGACTGGGTACGTGACAGTGATGTCTTCCGAGAACAGGGAGCTGTAGTCAGTACTTCCGACTGGTATCCCTGCGTGGAAGGTTGAGAAGGAGGAGTTGTCGCAAGCCTGTCTGTTGTCCCGCAATACGTCACTAATCTGTCAACAGCGGCCAAGGAAGTCAGCACGAAGAACCAAAAAATCAGGAAAGCGTGCTAAAACGCCCTCTTCGAACTTGTCTGCCACCTTGGGTGTTTCTCAAAGCTGCACAGTGTCAGAAGAAAGTAAGCGCGAAACACTTCCAAGCACACTGCAAGCCATGCAAAACAACATGCTCTGCAATGCGATTTTGAGGAAAGTTCAAGACGACAGGCAGCCCGGCTGCCCAAAGGGACCCCTTTTTGAATGACTAGCCAGCAAGCACCCCCATCCAGTGGTCTGGATCGGAGTAAAACTGGCATTTTTGTGACCTCTGCAACTTTTCACAGGTTCTTTATGCACGAAGTTGTTGCCTATGCGTTGTCAAATAAGTTGAATCACAAGCACATGTGGGTCTGGACTTCCGCGGCCAGCTGGGCAGACCAAAAAGGGGGGCGTCGATCGGCAGATCATACCTTCAGATTGAACCAAGACCTGTTTAAGGTCTTTGTTCGATCGAGCATCGGCAGGCGCAAAAGACAGAAATTTCCGGTAAAGGCGCATGGAGGAGCAAACAGAGTGATCCTTTAGTTCCAGCTTGCATGACCGTTTTTGGCATGCAAATTGGGTTTGCTCCAGGCGCTCTTCCCACGGTGCTATTGAGCGTTTGCTTTAACAATGCTGCTGGTAGCGTGGCAGACGTACAGAGATCAATCTTTTTTGCTGCAGAAGCGGAAATCCTGACAATGGGCCGATCGCTGTGTTGATCTTCCTTAAGTTTGGGCCTTCTAGCAGTTTGAGAGGTCTACTAACTGCCTTCTTAGAGGTTTTAGGCAGCAGTTTAAAAAGTCTGCTTCTGAGCCTTCCAAGAAGGGTTTAGACAGCAGTTTTGTTTGGGCAGCAGTTTGAGAGGCCTCATCATTTCTGAAGATATTTGAGGCATCACTTTAAGAGGTCTACCCACTGCTAAGCCCTTCAGGAAATATTTGGGCAGTTGGAGAGGCGACCCACTGCTGGATCTTCCGGAGAAGTTTCAGGCAGCAGTTTAAGAAGCTCAATCACTTTTGAACTTCCGGGAGGGTTTAGGCAACAGTTTGATAAGCCAAAAGCACTTCTAGGCCTTCTGGAGGCAGATGTCCGTTGTATTCGGCCACATCGCTGGCAATGAGTCCAAAAGCACATCCATGCAAGCCATACCGGATTGCCACGCCTTCAACAATCGGTCATCCATCGCAAGGTCACAATAGAAGCCATTAGGACAGGGCCAACCCTTCCAGCAGAAGGGTAGGCCGAACGTGCCCCATGGTGGTCAGCCAGTGGCGACTTCAACATGGCGAGCGTTGGTGGTGTTTCGTTTTCTTGTTCTTCTTGCTTCTCATGGCGTTACGAGACCTACAAGAACGGCTTACTGTGCTACTGATGTGGTAAAGAGGCGTCCACTTGAAAAAAATCTGCCACTTGCTGCCATCCGAGCTATGCAAGCCAGGAGAGATGATGCAGGGATGCATCCTCCCTGCCAATGATTGGACGGCAATTATGCAATGTTCTGAAAATCCACAGTTCTCACAATGGTCTTCTTGCGG